CATGTGTCCACCCGCTTCTTTCGGCCGACGTGTTCGGTAGCAGATTATGAGAACCTGTTATACCCTCTGAATTCCGTCTTTGGCGTCGACTCGTGTCGATTAGCGTCTGGAGTCGATGAGATAGCGCCGTTTGAGCGTCGGTCAGCGTCGATTCGGCGTTGATCCGCGCCGATTTAGCGTCGACGACCGTCGATTCGCAAGAGCCGGCGAGATGGCGTGGGAGGCTCCCGTGAGTTGCCGCCGAGGACGTGCACGCCTCCCCGCCCTCCCAGCAGCGCAGCCCCCCTCCGCGCTCGCCCCCCGCGCGCGCCGCCGAGCCGTCGCCGCGCCGGCCGGGCGCGGGGCACTGGAGGAGGCCGACCCGGAGCTGGCGGGGCTGCTGGCGGCCGAGCGGGAGCGGCAGGCGCGGAGCATCCACCTCATCGCCTCGGAGAACTTCGCCTCGCGCGCCGTGCGCGAGGTGCGGGGCCCGCCTTCGCCGGCGGCGGAGCGCGACGCCTGCGGTCGAAGAAGAGGGAGGAATGAGGAGCAGTGTGGGTTCGGAAGGGGCTCGAGGTTCCTTGGGTTCCTCCAGTGTTGTTCCTCTCGCCCTCCAGGGGCACGGAGGCGCTTACGGGGCCAAGGAGGGGCTTCCTTCTTTCTTGCGAGGGCCTTGCGGCCGTTGCCGCCGACCCTGAGAGCGACGAATCTGAAAACGAGGGGGGGGCAGGGTGGAGGAGGTGGGTGAGAGAGGAAGAGGGGGGAGAAGGATGTGGAGGAGAAGCAAGAGGAGGAGAAGGAGGCAGAGGAGAGCAGGAGGAGGGGGAGCAGGGGGGGGAGGAGGAGGAGGAGGAGGAGGAGGAGGAGGAGGAGGAGGACGAGGAGGAGGAGGAGGAGGAGGAGGAGGAGGAGGAGGAGGAGGAGGAGACCAGAGGTTTTCTTGGGTCAGCCTGTGGCTCTCCTGAGGCCGTCTTGGGCCGTCCAGGGCTCTTCTTGCGCCGTCTCGAGGCACTCTTGGAGGCCTTCTGGGCAACTTGGGGCAGTTTGGGGGCCACTTGGGAGCCTCTTGGGGCCTCTGGGGGCTTCTTCGGGGCCTCTTGGGGGCCTCTTGGGGCTGAGAGCTCGAATTGTCCGTTCGGGTCCCCCGTCTGGGTACTCTCCTGGAGCCGTCTTGGGGGCCTCTTGGGCCGTCTTGGAGGCGTCTTGGACCGTCTTGGGGCCCTTTTCGGACGTTAGGGGACCCTCTCTGGGGCCTCTTGGGCCGTCTCGGGGCCATCTTGGGGGCCTCTTGGGCGGTCTTGGCGCGTCGGGAAGCGGAAGAGGCAAGAACGCCAAAATCTTTCAAACACGTGTGGGAAATCATGAATTTTGCCTCTTGGGGCTCTCGTGAGAAAGCTCCTGGAGGCCTCTGAAGGGCGCTTTGCAGGCCTCTTGGGCCGTCTGGAGGCCGTCAAGGCGTCTTGGACAGATCGTTCGGCGAATCGGGGTTCTCTTGGACTGTCTTTGGGGCCTCTTGGGACACTCTTGGCCCGTCTTGGGGCTTTTTTGGGCTCCTCGACTCCCAGGGGGGGCGTCGTATCTGACCCCCCCCCCAGGGCGTCTGACCCCCCCCCCCCCCGGACCCCCCCCTCCCCCCCCCCGGCGGGGGAGGGATCGAAGGGAAGGGGGTTCCCTTCGACTCAATTACGACGTTGCTTATTTTCGCTTTGGCTGGCGCGCTGAGGAGGTCCCTGGGAAAGAGGGGAGCTTCGACGAGCCCAGGGAAAGGGGGGAGGCAGTGAAAGGGGACGACAGAGACGACGACCAACGAATGACGGAGATGACGACTTGAACGGACAAGCTCCTCACACACGCCGACAGGGTCGGCGGATTTAGCGTTCCTTCCTTCAGCGGCCTGACTGTACAGTCGAAGAAGAAGAAGAGCCGCTGTAAAAACAACAGCTTTTAGCGCTCTTCGCGGATTTCTTGGATCCGCGCTGGGCCCCCCCGGCGGCCTCTGGCGCCGCCCTTGGCGCGCTCCGCGCGCCAGGGAGCTCCGCGCGCCAAGGAAGGGGGTCTGGCGCAGATCCAAGAAATCCGCGCGGAGCGCCGAACATTTATGTTTATGCCAGTTTTCCTTCTTCGATGCAGTCAACCCGCCTGATAGAAGGACGCGCGCTTTCACCTAGGGTATACCCTTGTGTCCTTGCCTCTGCGGCCCGTCCTTTGGTCCCTTGCGTCCTTGGGGTTTTGGTCACCCACCGCCCATTAAATCCCGACTTCGGCCTCCAGGGGCCTGTGCTCTTAATGCACATTTTGACTGTAGTCGGCGGCGGAACCCGAACCCTACCCGTCGGTCGTTGAAAGTTGGTATTGTTGGATGCCCAAATCCCCCCAATCTACATTAGGCGCCTTCCTACTTCAAGGACCGACTCTTCCTTCCACTTCAGAGGGCGGGCGGAAGCCCAATCTGTTTCCAGCGCCTTCCTACTTTATGTTTCTACCCATTTCTTCCGACCGACGGGTAGTCGACGGAGGAACCCGAATCCTACCCTCGCCGATCAACGATTCAGGCAACTCGGTGGGCGGCGTGGATAGGGTTCGGAATTCTAGACGCTTCGCGTAACCCCACCAGCTGGGTACGAGAGACGACGACTCGCGTCTGGGTATCCCGGACCCGCCCGACCACGCTGCCAAGGACGAGAGCGGTGAAGCCGTGATCCCCCCTACGGAAAAGGTGGAGTCACCCGACTTTGGAAACCCCCACGAGTCTCCTCCTCCTGTATCCTGTTCGGGCTCTGCCACGGAGGTCGACGACGACGGCCCAGGCGACAAGGCGCCTCAGCGGAGTCCAACGGCAGACAGCTCGGAACCCAGCTCTGACCGCGACCCGATTGCTGCCTGGGGTGGCCCTGTTAGCACCGACCGAAATGCCAGTGAAGCCAGGGGATCAGATTATGATGAGGTCGCCCGCGACAGTGGCGACGCGCGGAGTCGTTCTCCCACTACGCAACCCACAGGTCCCTGGACATGGCCTACCTACACTCGTTCAACGGAGCGCCATACACTCAACCTGTTGACCGACTCACATGGGGGCCCCATGTACAAGGTCTGGCTGGGCACAGTGGACCTGGAGCGCCGCGGAAAGCCACCCGCCAAACGCCTCACCAGGCACCAAACGGAGTTGGGTGCAGTATTCTGCGCTCTGTGGACCGCCTACACGCAAGGCATTCGGCTCCCCGGATCCAGGGAGCCCAAATCAGACCCGAGGCTGCACACGGACGCGACCATCAACAATTTCTTGGACGACTGGAAGGGCTGCGGATACAACGCCTACTTGATGGACACGAGGTACGACTACCGCATCGATTGGGCCAAAGTGCGGGCCGAGTACCTGCGTCACACCCGACCCGATGGCAAGGGCAAAGGCAACCACCAGCAGAGCAGCTGGCGCGACCGAGCGACAAGCTCCTGGGACACCTGGGGCACCTGGCAGAGCGACTGGAGCGACGGCTGGCACGACGACCGTTGGCAGACGGGAGGCAAGCGTGGTGGAAGCAGACCTGACGAGCGTGGCGAAAAGAGGCACCGATGGGGAGACTGAGCTCCCTTCCCACCCATCCTGCCACCTAGGTGGACAGAGATGTCAACCTTATTACACACTGTGAGCGGCCTTCAGCTGCCTCCCGTTCTCTCTCAACCGTGTGGCAGCCTCGCTGCCTCCTTCCCTGGTTCACACACTTCCTGCCTTTGGACCCAAGTGTGCCGACCAGCAATACCATCTGCTTCGCTGCGCGGGGGAGCGCAGCGCGCAGACCCTAGTTGGCCCCTGGCCCCGCTGTAGTGGTTCTCGCCTGTGGCCCGAGTTGTCCTGTGCTCGGCTATGCTGCTTCGGGACCGACCGAGGTCCACTCCCGAGACACGCTTATAATCCCTGGGTTTTCTCTATCAAACAGCGGCCTTCAGCTGCTCCTTGGACGACAGACCCGCCTGGCGGCATCCTGCCGCCCCTTCTGGTACGTGCACTTCCTGCCTTTGGATCCAAGTGTGTGTGCCAGCAATACCGTCCGCACTGCAACTTCGTGTTGCGTGTGGCCATAGTGGCCCCTGGCCCCGCTGTAGCTGGTTTCATCTTGCCAGGCTCTGCCTGGCACGCAGCTCTGAGACCGACGACCTGGTGGTTTTCGCCCCGTCATGCCCAGATCTGCGCCTCTACTCCCTGGGCTTCCTAAGTTACTACGGCCTTCAGCCGTGCATCTCTACCTTTCCTGGGAGCGACACTGGGCTCGGACCCTCGTCCTTGGGTCACGTGGTGTACAGGCAGTCCTTTGACGTGGGTCGCCCCGCCGTGGTGGCGGAATGCCCGCCTGGTCCGCTCGCACCGTGCTCTGACTGGGTCGCTGACGTAACCCCGTTCATTGCTGCCTCACACTGTTGGCCGTGCTGTGCCACCCTGTGGGCAGTGATGCGCGGTCTCGGCGTGTGACGGGCACTCGGTCTCCCTATCGTCGCTCCCACGCGCAACCTCGTTGTGCGACCACTCCCTGGGACTCTGTGACCTTGAAGGGCTTGCTGACGTGGGTATACGGCAGCTTCTTCCTCCACGAGCGCTTTCCTCGACCTGGCGTTGCGTGGGTTGCGAGGCGCTGTTTGTCACTTAGTCGGTTGGTACACGCCCACTTCCGATTGACCGTGTGTCCCTCACCAGGTGGGTACTCGTGTACTTCTGCACTGCGGCGCGCCATATCTCTGGTCTCCTGCGTGCAGGCGCATCTCTCAGCAGTCGAGGCGCCCCAGTTGTCTTTGACCTCTGGCTCACTCTGTCAGCCGCGGATGCGTATTCTGAAGCTGCGACGGTTCGCTGGCGCTGTCAGAATTCCCTTCCTTGCTGGACGACGTCAGCTACGCTTTCGGTCTGCTCATGCCCGACAGACACCCTGGGCTGACTTTCTCGCACGGAGTTTGATTCCCACCACCATGTGTTGGCGGTTGTCACGACCCATGACTGGGAATGTACGGCGCGCCATTTTGGCCGCGTCCGCTTTGCTTCCTGGGTGACTGACCCCTCAGACTCCCTGGGTGGCAGCTTGCATGACCGCCTGGCCTCTCAGACGCCCTGGGTTGCTGCTTGCCCCGCCGCCTGATCCGCGGCCCCCGCGCGCGCCCGGGTAATTCGTCGCGGCCGCAGCCCGACCGTGACCCCTCGCCGCCGGCGCTTCCGCCTGCGGCTGTAAAAAAAAAGGTACCCCCACCAGCGTCCGCAGCCTCTGACTCAAGCCGTCTCGGCTCGAGGTGGCTTGCGCGGCCTGGGTCCTGCGGCCTGGCGGGCGCGCCTGCAGGCCTCCGGCGGCGGCTTGGACGGGGGGGTCTCGCCCCCCCCCCCTCCCGGCCGCCGCCCCCGGGCGATGTTGCCCCCTGCGGCTCGGCGGCGGCGGCAGCGCTGGGCTGCTGCCGCCCCTGCCGCCGGCTCTGCTGCCGCCCGCGCCCTGGGCGCCGCGGCCGCCGCCCCGCTGCTCCGGCGCCCGCGCCGGCGCCGCCCTCTGGCTGGCCGCGGGCGCCGCCTTCCCGGCTGGCCCGTGCCCCGGCCGCCACGCCGCCCCGCCGCCCCCTGCCGCCGCGGCCAGCGCGCCCCCCGGCGCTGAGCGCGGGGAAGCGGCGCCGCGGCCGCCCGCGCGGCGCCAGCACGCGGCCGCCGCCGCTGCCGCCGCCGCCGCCTCCGCCGCGGCGCCGCGCTGGCTCCTCCCGGCGACTCAAGCGGGCTGGCGCGCCGCGGGCGCGCTCGCGGCGCCTTCGCCGGCGGCCGCTGCTGCCGCCGAGCCGCTGCCGCTGCCGGTACCCCCGCTGGCGGCGGCGGCAGGCGGCCGCGCGCGGCGTGGCGGCGCCGCCGCGCCTGCAGCTGCCGCTGCGCCCCAGACGCCGCGGCCGCCGCCGGCGCCGCCAGGCGCCCCCCGCGCTGCGGCGGCCGCCGCCGCCGCCGCGCGGCCCTGGGCGCGGGCCGCTGCGCTGCCCGGCCGCCGCTGCCGCGGCCGCCTGCGGCGCGGGCCCTGGCGCTGCGGAGGGCCGCGGCGGCCGCCGGCTTATGGCTGGCCGTTTGACGCTGCGGCCCGGGCGGCCCTGCTGACCTCGCGCGGCCTCGCCCCTTGCGGCCGCGGCCGCCCCCCCCTGACGGCGGCGCGCGCAGCTTCCGCGACGGCGGTCTGGCATGCGTGGGGCCGGCGCCTCGGGCCGCGCGGCCGCGGCCGACCGCCCGAGGGCGGACCGCCGCCTCGGGCCCTGGCCGGCCCGGAACGCCTCCGCTGCCCGCTTTCCCCGCCGGCGGCGACGGCGCCCGAGGGCACCGTGGCCTGCGCGCCGCTGGACGCCCCCGCGGCCGCCGCGGCGCCCCCCCCCCCCCCCCCCCCCGGCGTCGGCGCGGAGGCGGCGGCGGCCGCCGCTGCCGCCTCCAGCGCCCCCCTGCGGCAGCAGCAGCAGCAGCAGCCGCGGCAGCAGCTGCGGCAGCAGCAGCGGCAGCAGCAGCAGCAGCAGCAGCAGCAGTCAGAGCCCCGAATCATCAGGGGTAACTCGGGTCAGGGATAACTCGGGTTCGTTTCTCGGGAATCCAAACCCGAGTTACCCCGGGCCCGAGTTGCCCCGGATAACTCGGGCGCCCAGAGCCCCGAATCATCAGGGGTAACTCGGGTCAGGGATAACTCGGGTTCATTTTTCGGGAATCCAAACCCGAGTTACCCCGGGCCCGAGTTACCCCGGATAACTCGGGCGACCAAAGCAGCAGCAGCAGCAGCAGCAGCAGCAGCAGCAGCAGCAGCAGCAGCAGCAGCAGCAGAGAGAGGCACCCAGCGACCACAACAGCAACAGCAGCAGCAGCGGCAGCAGCAGCAGCAGCAGCAGCAACATAACCCCGCAGCTGCCGCAGCAGCAGCGACATCAGCAGCAACAGCACCCCGCAGCCGCAGCAGCAACAACGCCCCCCTCACAACAATCGCTGCCTCAGCAGCAGCTGAACCCGCGAGAAGACTCAGAGGTACCCTTGCCCCCTCAGCAGCAGCAGCAGGGCAGCGAAAAGGAGGCGCACCCCTTTGGGAGCCAGCAGAACACAAGAGAATACTCAGAGGTACCCTTGCTCCCTCAGCAGCAGCAGGGGGGCAGAGGGAAGGAGAGGGAGCCTCTTGGGGGCATCCTGGGGGCCTCTTGGAGGCTTCTTGCGGGCAACATGGGGTCATCATGGGGCCATATCGGGGCCTCTTGGGGCCTCCTGGGCGCCTCTTGGGGCCATCTTGGAGGAGATCGATCACGGGAGGGGGCGGCACTAATTAGGCCCCCCCCCCATCAAGAGGCCAACATGGAGCCAAAACCATCGTGAGACCAATGAATTTGGCTTCCTCGCCGAGGCCGTTTTGGACGCTCCGACGCCTCGCGAAACCCCTTGTCCAGGTCCATGGGGAGGGGGTAGGGGGAGGGGTAGACCCCTCCCCGAAGGGGAAGAAGGAGGGGTGGAAGAGGAAACTCCCCAAACCACCCACGCCCGGAGGGCTGGTGGGATTCGTCGAGCACGTGGCGAAGTCCGAGCCCTGCCCCTTCCTCCCGCCGACTCAGGACAATCGATGGGCGGCGGGGGCAGGGTTCGGAATCCGCCGAGCACGTGGCGAACTCCAAGCCCCACCCCCGCCTCCCATCGACTCAGGAGAATCGATGGCTGGCAGCGGTGGGGTTCGGACGTCGCCACCTGGTTAGGGGGGGCAGGCCAAGGGGGGGGGGCCGCATCGACCCCCAATCGCCCATTCATCGCCGATCGGGGGGCGCGATCACCCCACCCCGCACAGGAGCGTCCGTATTCGCCATCGGGGGCCCATCGCCGCTATATCGCCGATTCCAGGCCGATGTTCCCCCTCCTCCCCCGCGCCCCCCCCCGTCCTCCCCCCTCCCCCCCTAGCGTTGCCCTTCAGAGGTGCTCGGCTCGGAGCTGAGCAACAAATACTCCGAGGGGCTCCCTGGCGCGCGGTATTACGGGGGGAACGCCGTCATCGACCAGATAGAGCGGCTTTGCCAGGAGCGGGCCCTCGCTGCGTTCGGGCTGGACCCAGAGGAGTGGGCCGTGAACGTGCAGCCCTACTCTGGTAGCCCTGCCAATTTCGCTGTCTTCACGGCGCTCCTGGAGCCCCACGACCGCATCCGGAGAAGGAAACGCGGCGTCCATCGCGTGGGAAAACGTAGCCGTATCCGCGGCCTCGCGGGGCCGGGCCTCTGGGCCGCGACCCCGCGGGTACGGGGCATTTTTTCAAGATGCCCTGCGCGAAGCGTATCCGTGCGCTCGCGTATCCGCGGGATCGCGCCCTGGAAGCAAGGGCGCTCTCGAGGGCGCGAAGTTGTTCGCGCTGCGCGCTTCGCGCTTCGCGGCTCGGCTCCGATTCCTCCTCGTCATCCCCTTCTCCCCTGGGAGGCGGCGCGAGAGCGCGAAGGTGTTCGCACTTCGCGCTTCGCGCAGCGCGAAGCGCGAAGTTGGGAGCCTTTTCGGAATCCAGACCGCGAGGGCGTGGATGCGGATGTGTTCGCCGCTCTTGAGTAAACATAAAGTTTCGGAGCTCCGCGCGGACTTCTTGGATCGGCGCTGGGCCCCCTGGCGGCACCTCCGGCGCCGCCCCCGGCGCGCTCCGCGCGCCAGGGAGGGGGATCCAGCGCCGATCCAAGAAGTCCGCGCGGAGATCCGACAGTTTTTCTGTCTATACAGTTTTCTTCTTTATTTTCATGGGGCTCGATCTCTGCTGCGGGGGCCACCTGACGCACGGCCACTACACCCCAAAGCGGCGGGTGTCCGCCACGTCGATCTATTTCGAGTCGCTGCCGTACGGCGTGGACGCGAGCACGGGCCTCATCGACTACGCGGAGCTGCGCAGAAGCGCCCTCGCCTTCCGGCCCAAGCTCATCGTGGCCGGAGCGTCGGCGTACCCGAGGATCATCGACTGGGCCGCGTTCCGCGCCGTCTGCGACGAGGTGGGCGCCTATTGATGGGCCTCTTTTCCACCAGCGCCACCGTAAGTTGGAGGGGGGATGGAGGTGGAGGACGAGGAGGAGAGGGAGGACGACGAGGAGGAGGAGGAGGTGGAGGAGGAGGAGAGTCCCCTCCCCCTCCAACTCATGGTGGTGGTGGTGGAAAACAGGCCCCTCGCCTGTCTCTTGGTCGACATGGCCCACATCAGCGGCCTGGTCGCCGGCGGAGCGCACCCCTCGCCCTTCTCGGGGGTGGACAGAACCCCCAACAGTGACTCGTCGATTAGTGAATTGTCCGTTTTCGGTTCTCGAGAGGGCGCCGCGGCTGTTCTTTTCCAGGCTTGCGCCCGCCAGGTTTGGGCCTCAGGTCGTTTTCACTAAACCACGTTTTACTAAAGGGAGGTCTGTCCATCCCCGACCTTCCCGCACGCGGACGTCGTCACCACCACGACGCACAAGAGCCTGCGGGGGCCCCGCGGCGGCATGATCTTCTGCAGGAGAGCGCTGCGGCGTCGGGTCGACGACGCGGTGTTCCCCGCGCTCCAGGGCGGCCCGCACAACGCCACCATCGTTAAGTCGGGCACGTCCCTCTACAGGAGGAGTATTCAAGGATAGTGGAAAAATCGTCAGGGGACGATTTTTTGACTGTGCTTGATTGTTTTTGAGGCTTTTTTGGGGGATTTTGTTTTTTCCGCCCAGAATCCGCCTGTAGGAGGACATGCCCGACCTGACACCATCGGCGCCCTTGCGGTCCAGCTGCGGGAGGTGGCCACCCCGGAGTTCCGGCGGTACTGTGCGGACGTGGTGGCCAACTGCCGCGCCCTGGCCGAGGAGTAGGGGATTACATGCGAACCCTACCCCTACCCCCCACGATTTCTGAGGAGGAGGGTGGAGTTCACTTCGTTCGGGAGCTCCCGAGCGAAGTGAACCCGCCCTCCCCCTCAGAAATCGTAGGGGGTAGGAGTAGGGTTCGCATGTGGTCCCCTAGAGGAGCTCCAGAGCCAGGGCTGCACCGTCGTCACCGGCGGCACCGACAACCACCTGCTGCTCTGGGACCGCCGGGGGGCCTCTAAGAGGTGCGGCGGCCACGCCGTGTGGCGGTGAGTCGGTGGGCATTCGGGGTTGCCGCCAAGGGTGACCGAGCGCGTTCCACTACTCGCAAAGTGCCTACTCGCAAAAGGTCACAAAAAAACAAACGTTTTTTTTTTTTTTTTTTTTTTTTTTTTTGTTTTTTCCCCACATGTTTCGTGGGGTTCTGGTTTTCTTCCCTGCCGCGGCGCACTCGCGTCTCCTCCTCCCTTCTCTCTCTCTCCTTCTTACACAGCGCAGCACAGCTCAGCTCAGCTCAGCTCAGCACAGCTCAGCTCAGCTCAGCTCAGCACAGCACAGCACAGCACAGCACTGCTCACCATAGCTCAGCACAGCTCAGCACAGCTCAGCTCAGCACAGCACAGCGCAGCTCAGCACAGCACAGCACAGCACAGTACAGCACAGCACAGCACAGCACTGCTCAGCACAGCTCAGCGCAGCTCAGCTCAGCTCAGCACAGCACAGCTCAGCTCGGTCGTCCAGGCCGTAGCAGGCGTGGCACTTTCTCGATACCATAGGGGGTGCGCAGGGGGTGGTCCCCCTATCCGCGCCGGTCGTCCAGGCCGTAGCAGGCGTGGCAGTTTCTCGACGCCATAGTGGGTGCGCACGGGGTGGTCCCCCTATCCGCGCCGGTCGTCCAGGCCGCAGCAGGCGTGGCAGTTTCTCGACACCATAGGGGGTGCGCAGGGGGTGGTCCCCCTATCCGCGCCAGTCGTCCAGGCCGTAGCAGGCGTGGCACTTTCTCGACACCATAGGGGGTGCGCACGGGTTGGTCCCCCTATCCGCGCCGGTCGTCCAGGCCGTAGCAGGCGTGGCACTTTCTCGATACCATAGGGGGTGCGCACGGGGTGGTCCCCCTATCCGCGCCGGTCGTCCAGGCCGTTGCAGGTGTGGCAGTTTCTCGACACCATACGGGGTGCGCACGGGGTGGTCCCCCTTTCCGCGCCGGTCGTCCAGGCCGTAGCAGGCGTGGCAGTTTCTCGACGCCGTAGTGTGTGCGCACGGGGTGGTCCCCCTATCCGCGCCGGTCGTCCAGGCCGTAGCAGGCGTGGCAGTTTCTCGACACCATAGGGGGTGCGCAGGGGGTGGTCCCCCTATCCGCGCCCGTCGTCCAGGCCGTAGCAGGCGTGGCAGTTTCTCGACACCATAGGGGTTGCGCACGGGGTGGTCCCCCTATCCGCGCCGGTCGTCCAGGCCGTAGCAGGCGTGGCAGTTTCTCGACACCATAGGGGGTGCGCAGGGGGTGGTCCCCCAATCCGCGCCGGTCGTCCAGGCCGTACCAGGCGTGGCAGTTTCTCGACGCCGTAGTGGGTGCGCACGGGGTGGTCCCCCTATCCGCGCCGGTCGTCCAGGCCGTAGCAGGCGTGGCAGTTTCTCGACACCATAGGGGGTGCGCAGGGGATGGTCCCCCTATCCGCGCCGGTCGTCCAGGCCGTAGCAGGCGTGGCACTTTCTCGAAACCATAGGGGGTGCGCAGGGGGTGGTCCCCCTTTCCGCGCCGGTCGTCCAGGCCGTAGCAGGCGTGGCAGTTTCTCGACGCCATAGTGGGTGCGCACGGGGTGGTCCCCCTATCCGCGCCGGTCGTCCAGGGCGTAGCATGCGTGGCAGTTTCTCGACAAAATAGGGGGTGCGCAGGGGGTGGCAACGGCCACCAACATCATTCTTACATGCTTCACTTCAGCTATCATCACTCCAGCCATAATATAAGTATGTGGGGTTCCTCGGCAGCGTTTTTTTTTTTTTTTTTTTTTTTTTTTTTTTTTTCTCTCTCTCTCTCTCTTTTTTGTTTTCCTCTCTCTCTCTCTATATATATTGGATCGCAGATTCCCATCGGCGGATCCAGGCCATTTGCGAGTAGCTACTCTGCGAGTCGTGGAACGCGCTTGCGTGAATTAGGAGGCGAAGAGCGGTATAACGTACACTTTTCCGCCGTCGGGGACGCCTCCCCGGGGCGGCTGCAGAGTCTATACCCTTGCGGTGCCACGCAGAGGTATCAAGTTTCCAGCCGCCTGGGGGGCAGGCGTCCCTGGCGGCGGAAACGCTTGTTTTATATTGCTCTTCGCGCGCCAAATGAAAGTCCGAGGTGGGAATTTATACATGACCACAGCCTGGAGGATCAATTTTCGGGGACCTCGGCAGGCCTTGGATATGGACATATTCGGGCCCCCCGGGGGGCCACATATGTCCATATCCGCCGCTTGCTGGGGCACCAGGTCGTCGGCTCCTAGGCGGTGGATGTGGATAATTCTCCGCCTCGCATCAAAGGGTGTTCGCGGGCCTGTCGGCTCGACTCCGTCGCGCTCGCTTCGGTCGGCTGCCGCGTCGCTGCTGCGGCGCAGCGCGCCGCGGGTAATTATTCGGCTGCCTGCGGCACCGCTAGGTTTTGCGTCACCCCAACATACTTATACTATATGTGCGTCGCCCCCTCAGGGGCAACTCGCGCTCCGAGAAATCCTATAGTATATGCATCGTGGCGGGCGCTTTCTGGCCACACCGCTCGGAAAACGATCTACTACAAGAGGGGCATAGTATATGTTCGGGTCGGACGCGCGCCTCTAAGGAGGACATATAGTACTAGTATGTCTATGTGCCGCCCACATGATGATGACGATGACGAGGAGGTGCTAGGGACAGGATGATGATGACGATGATGAGGAGGTGATGGTGGTGATGATGATGGCGATGACGAGGGCGATGATGAGGATCATGACGACGATGATGATGATGATGATGATGATGATGATGATGATGATGATGATGATGATGATGATGATGATGATGATGATGAGATGATGTTGATGATGATGATGATGATGATGATGATGATGATGATGATGATGATGATGATGATGATGATGATGATGATGATGATGATGATGCTGATGCTGATGCTGATTGATGATGATGATGATGCTGATGAGATGATGGATGATGCTGATGCTGATGATGATGATGATGATGGTTGATGATGATGATGATGATGGTGATGATGATGGTGATGGTGATGGTGATGGTGATGGTGATGGTGATGATGAGTGATGATGAGGATGATGATGCTGCTGCTGCTGCTGATGCTGCTGCTGCTGATGATGATGATGATGATGATGATGATGATGATGATGATGATGATGACGATGACGGAAAAACCGGGTGAGTCAGTTGAGGTCCAAAAGCCCGCCCTGAAGACAGCCAGCGTATAGTACTAGTATGTCTTTGTGCCTCCCATGGGTCTCGGGCTCGGGGGGCTCGCGGGCGGCTCGGTCGGTGTTCGGTGGTGCCCTCTCCGTGGGCGGCCCTGTGGCCGCGCGGCGTGTCGGGGCTCGGGCATGTTTTTCCGAGGGCGTCCCCGGGCCGTTGGCTGGGGCCTCCAGGGGCGGTGGGCCGATTGTCCACCACCACTATCGGGCCGGGCGAAAGGGGGGGATTGGGAAAGGGGGGGTTGCGAAATTTGCGGCATGCATTTGGTTTCGGCCTCAGCGAGGGGCCCATTCCTCGATACATAGCCGCCTCCTGCGCCGGGAGGCGCCAGGAAAGTCAGCTACGTGAGCTGATTCTCACCCCCCCCCTTTGCTATTCCCCCTTTTCGCCCGACCCGACACTAGCATATCTGCACGAACGAAATGGGTACGGAAAGAAGGGGTACGAAGCCCAAGAGCAGTTCCTGCTCATTCTGAACGGGGTTCGCTGTCCACGCCGCCGCGGCCTGTGTCCACTCGAGGCAGAAAGCCGCCTGCCCAACAGCGGCCGCTGTTGTTCTGGGACAACATTTGTCGTTCGGCATTGTGCCCATTTTTTCCGTACTCATTCCGGTCGTCCAAAGCATAGGCAGGAGGGGGCGGAAGAAGAAAAGGAGGAGGACCTCCCCATCCTCCCTCCCCCCCGTCCTGCCAGTACCAGTGGTGGTGGGAGATCGGCCCATCAAAGGGTCCCCAAATTTTCACCGAGCGCGTTCCATTACTTGCGAAGTGCCCACTCGCAGTCGCCCCAAACAAAAGAATGCTTGCCTTGACGTCATGGGTCGTAAATGCCCCGCGGCGGGTCCAGGCCATGAGCCGTGCGGTGACCGACGGCCTCGCGCAGAGGGGGGTATGGGCAAGCTAGGTGCGCTCGCATCATATCTGACGTCCGATCCCTCCCTCCCATTCCTTACCATGGCGTAGATCTCCTCTCTATTCGCACAGTCGGATGTCGTAACAGGGCATAGCATTACATGACATAGCATGGTGCTGAATATTAACGCGTAGCCTGACATAGCGTGGCGTGGCGACGCCCCAAAATGGGGGGGCTTCTGCGGCCCAACAAATCAACGAATCGACACTGAATGTGTAATCACTTCCGATGGCTTTTTCGGGGGGCCATTTTCTAGATTCCGGGGCGTTTCTGGAAGGACCGAAAACCATGTCGTGGCATGGCGCTGGAAGTAATGACGCCAGCGCTGCGGCGGGAGAACGATTCGGAACGAGCGGTAGCCCGAAAATGAGGCCAGCGCTTCAGCGAGAGCAGCATTTCGGAAACAACCTAAGCGAGAACCCGTTTCTGGGGAATCCTGTGTGTAACAAACCAGTACGCGAGGGGGGGCCATATATTTCTTTTGACGTCACCAGGGGAGAGAGGAGAGTAGTATTCATATTGTGTACGTGGAGGGCGGAAGGCTCTTCTTCGAAGCAGCCCTGCTCCTTAGAAGACGCGGGCAGTGTACGACACAACCTGAGTCTTCGGTGTTGTAATACCTTGCCCAATTTTTTTTTTCTCCGCTTTTTCTTCTCACTCACTCTCCTCCCTCCTCCTTTCTCCCACTCACTACGCCTCATATGACTTTCATCCTCCTGCACCCCTCTCTCACCCTCCTTTCTCCTTTCCTCCTCCTCCCTCCTCCCCGCCTCCTCCTCCTCCTCCTCCTCCTCCTCTCCTCCTCCTCCTCCTCCTCCTCCTCCTCCCCCCCCCCTCCTCCTCCTCCTCCCCCCCCCT